CGTCCGAGTGTTGACCGTTCGTCGCCAGACCGACGCTGCTCACTCGGTTACCCCGAGATGATGGTCATTGCTGCAGGAGAGACCTCTGACGGAAAACACGAATCATGAAACGGTCTGAAAAGAAGTTCAACCGAACCCCAGGAACTATCAATAAAGCTAGAGGTTTCAACTCTTTTCCATCACTCCCGAATCGAAATCTCTCAGAGACATCCCGATGTTTTTCTCCCTCGGAACTCTCGCTTTGTGCCATGCCAAATGTTCTGCGAGATGAAATAGTGGCCGGAATAGCATAAATATAAACATACCTGCAACTTGAGGGGACCCTGTTGGATCTGACCTTTCGAAATAGGAAACGTTCTTATGCGCGGGGAAACTGAGGAAGTTAGCGAAAAGATACCTGGTTCTTCGAACAGCCTTTGAGAATAAGATGAATATGGTGCTTAAATCGAACCTGGTCACCTCCTCATTCTTTATTTGGTCATTCGGCATAAATTCTACATAAGTACCTACTTTACACGATTAATTACAAACATCAGCCTACAATGATATCCATTGTCTTTTTTACCCCATCTGGAGACGATTAGCGTCCCAGAACAAGCATATCGCCCCACTAATTATCGATCTTTCCCATTGACAGACTCGAGACATCGAACTGAGTCGTACGAAAATGCGCTACAAGCTGGGGTCCAAATAACAGTACACACGTCTCACGATTCACGATAAGAAGAGAGAGCGCACCCAAGGAGCTTCGAGAGATAATTGTCCGCCTCTCGGATCTCCCTCCGGATCTTCGAATCTCTTGGAGCCGAGATTCAAATCTCCCGCCGACCTACCCTATGATTTTCCGGGATGCCCGATCCGCCTCAGTAACCTCCCGAAACCTGGAATCCGCCCCCATGACCACCTGAGCCCCCCATCCTTCCTGCATGATCAATCGAGCCCCCGGGTCCTCCTCCGGTCCCTCCCGAGACTCTGAATCCTCCTCCAAGACCTCCCGAACCTTCCGATCCGCCGCCAGGACCTGCCGAGCCTCCAAGTCCTCCGCCATGACCTCCCGAGCCGCCGAGTCCCCCTCGATGACCTCCCGATCCAAGGCCGAGACTTCCCGAGCCTCCCAGTTCTCCCCCATGACCAACCGAAGTTCCGAATCCGGCCCCATAACCTCCCGAATCTCCTGATCCGCGGCCACGACCTCCCGAACCTCCTAATCTTCTCCCGTGACTGCCCGAACCTTCAAGTCCTCCTCCATGATCTCCCGAAGCTCCAAGTCCTTCTCCATGACTTCCCGAAGCTCCAAGTGTTCCTCCATGACCTCCCGAAGCTTCGGAACCTCCTCCATGACCTCGCCGAAGCCCCGAGTCCTCCTCCCACTGACTTCCCGAAGCTCCAAGTACTCCTCCATGACCTCGCTCGCCGCCGAGTCTGCCTCCATGACTCCCCGAGCCTCCCAGCTTCCCTCCGAGACCTGCCGAGCCTTTACGTCCTCCTCCATGAGCTCCCATGCCTCCCAGTTTCCCTCCAAGACCTACCGAGCCTCCGAGTCCTCCACCATGACCTCCCGAACCGCCAAGTCCGCCTCCATGACCTCCTGAGCCGCCGATTCCACCTTCGTGACCTCCGGAGCCTCGCAGTCCCCCGCCGCGGCTCCCGGAGCCTCCTAGCCCACCCCCGAGGCCCCCTGAGCCGCCTCGAAAGTTTGCGAGACCGGCTCCAGCGTTTCCAGATTTGCCTCGTCCGCCTGCATGTAATCCGGATGCTCCAGGGCCTGCTCCGAGGCTTCCATGAGTTCCAAGTCCGCCTCCGAGACTTCCAGCGCCGCTCCGTGCTCCTCCAAATCCACCGGACAAGCCGCTTTGACCACCAAGACCTCCGAGTCCGCCCGACAGGCCGTTTTTGCCGCGGAGCATTCCATTTGCTCCACCGTGGAGGCCGGATCCGCGGGAGACTCCGTCTGTAACTCCTGTCTTGCCTCCCAAACTCAGTTCGGCGGCCTCGAGGGAGTTTCCACTGAAGCTCAGTCGGTCGACGAGTATCAACACAAAAACGCGGAGCGATCGATGGCGAACCATTTTGCCAAGCGACGGAAGTGCTGTAAGCGAGGAACGGCGAAACAATGTGATATAGACCGCCTTCGTTGTGACGTTTCGGAAAGCAAAGAAAGCTCAACCCGTGCCTCGGCGAAGTACACGCGACGATAAGACACGCGAGTCTAACTTCCTGAGAGCATTGGTGTAGCGACATTCCCTCCGATTATGAATTTCCATGGTCGATCTGACACATAGCGAGGATCGGAGCCGCTGAATCCGGCTGATCACGACGTAGTCAGCATAAGCGAGCGACGCTACCTTCGGGAAATGATATTTCCTGGGGAAAGATCGTCGTCCGTACCTCTCGACTCGATAGAATGCGGAAGTCATTGGTTTGAGACATTGGTTCTGCTGGGGTCAGTCCCGGCTAATAAAATTCTGAATCGACCCGCGAATTGCTTGAGGCCGACGAACTGGGTTCCAACCTGTTTTCGGTAGGAATTTTACGAAGAGCTGAAGGAGAAATCTCGTCCATCAGCCCTGTGACACGCGGTTCAATCAGAAGGTGAATCCAATGCTCCCAGTGGCGGAGGAGACGGCCGCATCGGCTTGCCGAACCGAGAAATAGGGGCCTTTTCATGGTCTTCAGGAAGTCGGGGAGGTAGAAAACTATTTGTCCTCCCACCTCCCGATCTGAGAGCAAATGAACTTCATGCCGAACGGCTGTGTCCTGAGGTGTCGAGGTGCATACTCCGCGAAAGATTCTTTGGAGTTCCGAGCCAAAGCATGGAATGGGTATCATTCGTTTCCTGATAGGCACCGCCCAGAGCTCATTAAGGGGGAAAGACGTCTACACACGGCAGGTATCACAGGTAGGCTCGACCTCCGTCGCGACTTTTCGTCCCGGAATTCGCGGCCATTTCGGGCGCCCATAGACCCTCCACAGACTGGCTTGGCTGGTCTCGAGCGGAAATTCATCGCCATGCTTGTGATGCTAATGCTTGGTTCAAAACATGAATACATGCTCGATCCAATTCGAACATACGGAGTGCTTTGCCCCAGCTCATAACAGCCGCATCGCGTAAAACGGCCCGAGAAAATATCGGTCGATACTGACCGTGGAGGGTGATGAAACGCATCGAAATATCATTGACCTCGTTGCGGTCTCTGACGCGGACAGCGATCGATCTCACGGGTGACGCAAGCGAATCCCCGGCTGAAACCCTCCGTGACGCGATTCTGTGACAGTCACGCGATAGGTGTCTGTGCACTCACACTTAACGATGGGAGCTTCTCGCTGAATAAGTCAAAGCATATGACCTTGCCTGCAGACTACCGGCACGTGTGTCCGATTAAGGGAAATATCAAACACTGAACGGAATCGACCCGGCCATTGGACCGAGGCGGCTATATTTTCTGTGGGGGACTTTCTGCGGAAGCGAGGTCAATGAATATCAGTGGGTCTCATGCTACGGAACTCTTCCCGTGGAAGTCGCGACGCTGCGATTGGATACTACCTGTGGAAAGAGTGAAGCCTATCCCGTGGGCACTATCATTGATTTGTCGGGACCCATTGATTACGAGACACAGCGCACTATGTGTAGACAAATGTTTTGCTACCGTCGGCTTATGGCAGAGCCAATCGGGGTCGGATAGAAAGAGGTCGAATTCGTGGACTTCTTTGATCGTGTGGATAGCAAATACACGTAGGAGGGAATACGAGGAGGAGCGGAGCTGTAATTTCAGTGAGACCTCTTCAAAGGGAGCTCCTTCCGTTCTTCCGGGGAAAGAGCGGTATTCCCAGCCTCCGGGACGGCCCTTGTCTCCGAACTAATGGGCAAATCCTGGGTTGACGTGTTCATTCTACAATTCTGTTGGCTTTGGACGACGGCATAACTGTGTTCCGAATATTGTCGAGTGAACAGTCATTTTCCCTCATTCGGCGACGCCACCAGGGCATGTCATCCCTCCGTGACAGGATTGCATGCTGTACAACGCATTTCAGACCTGGCAGACCAAGAGTGTTCCTCATGGGGAAACCGTCGACCCCAGTCTCTCGAAACTCACACTGCGGCTCCCATCTAGATCCGAATCCACAACGATCAAGAGCCGTCTCCCTAGGATTGTTCCGAAGTTCGTAGCAACCTGAAGTTCTGAGCTTATTCCCGATTCCACTCGAGCAGTCTATTCTAGTGCAACGGCTGTGGAGAATATTGTTCGATGATGACCACGGGAGTCAACCGCGGCAGAGTCCGCGTGATCATCTGCCACGACGACCCTCGCAGCTGAGGGATATGCGCAGGGCTTCCACGAGCAGAATGTTGTAACCCACGGCTCCATTCCTAAAGAGTGAAGAGAAAGCTGTCCCTAGGAATTGTCCCGGGAAAGCTGTTCTTTCCAGCTCTTCAATGTGGCTCCGGTCGACTTTCTCAAACAAGAGCTCACTCGGAGTCAAGTCGACGACTGATCATCCCGAAGGCAGCCTTCATGACTTACTCAGATTAGACGAGGAGCGTCTCACCGATTGCGCAGTCTGGAGGTGGATGAAAAATCTCCGGTAATGCCTCTATTCCAACTTTCGTATCATAGCGGGGGAGATATGCCCAAGACGGAGACTCCGGAATTCGACGGAGTCAGTGAAGAAAGAAGATGGAGGAGGCCAATGCCGCCTCTTAAATGGAATAGATCAGACTCCGTCCAACGGGACTGGTCGGGGCCGAGCCATCTCGGTCCTAATGAGCGGCTGGCCCGACGAGCCGAACGGATTTTGACTAGGAAACCCCATTCGCGGATCTAGATTCCGGTTCGAGCAAGCGTAGGGTCCAATTATTATCCGGTGGTTCCGATGAGCAGAGCTCATTGATAGGCTCTCGACAATTCGAGCTCGCTTAGGCTCGAGCAGCCCCCTATCAGATCTTCTGTGAGGTCTTGCTTCAGACAGGTGTGACCCTCATGAGATAGTGAGCAGGATCGCCGATATGCTCCTTTTATTGCTGCAAGTTCACGGATCCCCCGCTCTATGGCGATCTTCCCCGAGATCGTGGTTTTCATCCACGACTTCCGCAGCGATCTCGTTCGTCGCTCCGCGACCGAACGCCTCGCAGATACGGCCCTTCGATGCGGTTGTGCCGAGCGATTCTCAGAAAAAAAACTGAATCCGATGAGATCGTCACATGACCAGTTTTCCGAGCACGTCGGAAATGGACACGAACTCCGTGATCCTTATCCACAGATACTACTATCGAACGTCGGGTTTGGAGACTTCTTGTATGCTTCGATCCAATCAAAGTACTTCGAGACTTCGGTGTAGTACATCGGCCAGTCAGGGGTGCCGCAGATAGGAGGGCCGCCGGACACGACTCCCTGCAATTGCCAGTACTTCCCTCGCTTGATTTGCAGAGGTCCTCCAGAATCCCCATGGCAGGATGAGCCTCGGCTGTGGAGAGTGCAGATGAGTTTCTCGGGATTAGTAGGCCTCAAATTTCGGCACTGTTCCTTGGTTATTTGCATCTGTCGAGCCTGCATGAGAACTTCGGCGGGCTTTTGCTCCACGCCGCTAGAGGTATAGCCCCATCCAGTCACGTATAATTTATCATTCTGGCTGACTTCCTCGTTAGGCTCAGGGAGACAGATCGGTCGGATCGCATCGGTGAAAGTGACTTCTCGGTCGAGACGAACGATGCCGATGTCATTCAGTTGCCCCCTCCATGAGGGATGAGGACAGACATCCTTGATATCCACAAAGATCTCCCCGTCGTCTTTGGTGGAGCGCTGGTGAGATCCGAGGTGGACACGCACTGCACTGATTGACATGCCCAGGCAGTGAGCTGCCGTGATCACGGTGCGGTTATCGATGAGGGCACCACCGCAGAAGTGGCTTCCGTGATTGAAAGAAGGTAAGTTGAACCTCGGCTTCGTGTAGAGTCCCGCTTGCCATGGGAACGCCTTGGGAAGTGCCTCCTGACCCCCGATAATATTGAGGTCGATGAGCTGAGGCTGCACCACGGGCTCCCCGCAATGAAGCTCGCACGTGATTGAGGCGATGAGCGCTAGAGTCGTCAAGGGTAGCAACATGGTGAACTCGAGGCTTCCAAATCGGGATTCCATTTATATACTCCTCCGAGGAGGATTGAGAAGCTTAAAGAGATCTCCCGCGATCGCCTGTCTGGCCGGGGGCGGAATCGGTGACGCACTGGAATCTGGCGGAGAGCATCCCATGAGAGAATGATTACGGCAATCCGTGGGGACCTATGAGACGTCGAATCGATGCAGCGGATTATCGAAAACGACGGAGTAACTCGGCTTTTGGGGACCAGCGAGAGAAGTCATCGCTGCGCCGTGATTGCTGTGCTGAGCTCACTCGGAGCCAAGTCGACGACTGATCTCTGCTCAACTGATCGGCGAAAACCGTAAAACGGAGCCACCGTGGCCCTAATTAGACGAGAGGCGCCTCACTGATGGGCCAGTCTAGGGGTGGATGAGGACTATCCGATGCTTCGCCGATCCCGATCTCCGTATGAGAGCTCGGGGAAAATAATTTCCCGAAATGCTCATCTAAGGGACAGAACCGAGTTTCTCTGACCGCTTCCTGGAGCGGAACCTTGCGGAAAATTCGAGATGAGGCGGCGGAAAATACATTTTTCTCAATGCACTGCTTTCCCTCAACTCACCGGTGAGCGAACTCGTCTGAAAGGCAATGTGGAGGGAGGGAGATCGGAACGCATCCGAGTACTCCGGTGAGCTGGCAATACTAGTGAGAAATAGCCCACCAGCCGATGTTCGAATGAGGAGCAAATCTTGGAAAAAAGCTCCGGGACACAGAATGTAGGAGGAAAAAACTCTTTGTGAGGGGGACCAGGGTTTGAGAGAGTGTCGTATAATCAATCTCCCCAGTGCGCGTCTGAGCGGACTCGTAACCGGATTTGACTTGAATTCCGCTTCCGAAGGCTCGTTGAAAGTGATGCTTCCGAGTAATCGACACAGCCATAAGTACCGCATCTGCTTTGGGAACGATCCGGGGTAATTAACAATCCGCGGAATGGAGAACGGCCTGAGATCTAGCTTTCGGATATAGCGAGGCTGATGCATGATCGCGGGGCTGTCCCCCGCTCCCATGATCCGCGATCTGCATCACCGATAGGTGCGATATCTCTCCGGTCTCTTATAGCCAGCTCGAGCGCGGTGGTTCTCTTCGACTTGGGCGAGAATGCTGAAGAATTGCGAGATCTGTTCGGAGGTGTACCCGGGTAGCGTTACCATGCAGCTTCTCACCAGCCCTCGAAAAGCCATCCGGAAAATGGCTTTCCAGGCGGTCCGATTAATCATAGTGAACAACGAACTTAAATTTCAACGGGACGTGGAAACCCTATGAATTCAAAAGTTGAAAGCGTCCGCAAGAATGCATTTATGTTGCACCCTGTGGTACTTTACACTAATCTTCACAGAGAGCTCTGCAAGACCGATTCTCATCCTCCATGAACGCTTGAAAAACAGAGGATATGACGAAAGTGTCAGTGGTGTGGAAAGATTCGTCACTCTGACCTTCATTTTTCTCGGAATTTTCTACATGGCAACAGATGTGGCTATCAAGACTGTCGCGTATAGAATGATACGCAATCCATGAAAGTACCGGCGGACGAATGCCACATGCCGAAGTCCTCATACACTCATACCGTGGTATTTTGTCGGTCCCCCATTGGCAGCACAATCAATAGTCTCACCTTAGTTTCTCAGCCGCCCGTGGGTGAAGGATCCCCTTTGTATTCTAGAACTGCTCGAATAAAATAGCCTTTGAAGGAATTCGGAAATATGATGAGTAGAGTTGCATAATGATAGGACATTCCTCTTCCGCAAAAAAGTCAATGCCCGCGCGGACATCGGGCACGGGCGCTTTACTCCATGTTTTCGATCTGTTCGGAAATGATCCAACTCTGTCTGCTGTCCCGCCTAGCGAGATTCGAATTGCGTTCAATTCTCACCGACAATTTTGTTCTATTGGGGGAATGTTCTGACATGAGACGATTGCTGAGATGGAAAAATCCGAGCTAGCCAGTTTTCAACCGAGAATAGCGTGATCCCCTCGGGAGTTCCGGAAAGCGGGCTTTCTCTCGGAAATCCCGAGGAGCGGACGAGAGGAAAAATGGAGCATATTTCGTTATACCGTGCCTTGGATAACAGATGTATCCGCACAAGGTGGGACCCGATCGATTAGGTCGGTGATGCTCAGCATACTCACGAGGCGTTTCCCTACGCTCACATCCCCCTTCAAACTCGAGATCTCAGCCGCCAAGCCCGAAGCTGCATTGCTCCCTGAGATTATCCGACTCGTCTCTCGGAGGGATATCGACGAGGTCTCCCGAATCACGAGTCATGCGGCTCTTCGGAGAACTCTCGCTCTGAAAACTCCTAACCTAACTCCGCCTGTTTAGGAACGTCCCAGAAACGAGCCCGACCACATGATCAATCGATTGAAGCTTTATTTGGGGTATAATCTGGGATCCGCACTCCGGGATGAGACCCTTCCCAGCTGAGTCGGGAATGACTCATAAACTTTAGGTTAATTATTAATCATGAGATGATTGATTTCGCTCGGAGTGGCGGCTCCCTTCAGCGGAAAGATTTGCGTCTGCGATGTTCTGAGGGTCGTCACTGCTGAGCGACCCCGAGCGAGAATTTCCGGGATTTCATGAAACCAAGGTTCCGAGGATCATAAATATCTGGTTCAAAACGCCAAAGCTCCCTGAACCTCTACGGCGGGCCGTAAAGCGGGATGGAGCACAAGAATAATGGCTTCCGCAGAGGTCGCGAAGTCCATAAATCTGTTTTCACTCTCGCTCTCTTCTTTTTCTCCAAACCTTTTCCGCATGCGCATATCTTGAACACGAGCCCTGCCGTCGACAGCGTCGATTTTTCAGCTGCGGATCCTGCTGGCGTTGAGCAGCCTCCTCCCCGTTATCCATCCATCCGTTGTTCCTCAGCGTTTTTGTCTCCCATGTCGATGAATACCTTTTGATGCTCAAGCCGAACTGCGAGGCTCTCCGGAAGGGACAGGCGAGCATGGACACGCGGTTGGACATATATCCACCAGGTTTCACAGACACTCAAGAACGCCTGATATAGGCTCTCGCGATTTGAGCTCGGACGAGTGTTCGTGTCTCAGGATCGACTGTCAGAGTCCCTGGAACAAGCATCGAACTCACAACAGGAACCGCACCGGTGTGTCAGGATCTGTTTGGCTTCTGCATCGATGTCAGCCGCGGTTCAATTCCCCCGCGATCGAGAAGGCAAGCAGAGAGACAGGGAGAGCGACAGACAAACCGACGGCCGAGTTTCTCGGTCGTCGAACGAGGTAGTAGTAGTAGTCGGAGCCAAATCAGAACATGGTTTTGCTTTTCCCCCCTCTTTTTGGAAGCACCTAGCCGACGAGCGAGCCGAGTGAGGTCTTAATCAGGGAAGTTTGCCAACACCTATCCCAGGGGAGCTCACGGACGAGAAGCCGCCGGCTAAATTGCTCGACGGGCTTTTGCACCTGATACCGTGTGAGAAGCTCGTCCTCGAAAAAGCCTTCCAATCGACGCAGCAATCGCCGCAGAGATTTGGGATGAACACGCGCTATCGTGTCTCGATCGCACGATTCTGACTCTGGACGTCTGCAGGTTGGAGCGATCGTTTCCAATATAAATTTCACGGCGCCTCCGACGGACAAACAGACACCGGGACTCAGATTCGTTCAATCGTTCAGATTCGGAATGGGTCCCGATCCCTCTGGAGTCTCCAAGCTCTTCAAGCGTAATGGAATAGAAAGTTCTCTTGCCATCTGAAGTCATTCGCAGGAGCCACCTAAGAGGAGCGTCCGCTAATTTGTTGACGCCCCGACCGTCATCAAACGTGACCCTGCTTCGAGGTTAACCCTTGGCTTCATCAGAAACGCGAACGTGCTTAGACAAGTTCCCTTCGTAACGAACCGTCACAAGCGAAGCTGGCGTGAGGTCGTGGACTCTCTAATGGCCGGGAAGGAACGGAAGGAACTTTGCGGCCCGACCGAAGAACGTCGCCGTCGCCGTTCGACGAAAGAGCTCCACGCCCGCGTCTCGATCCAGTCGTTAGTGAAGTGCTGAGGTAGCGGAGGTCGTGATGAGCTGGAGAACACTGTGCGTCACCTATCGTCGCACAGCTGGATCTCGCATTCCAAAGGGTTTGTCGGTTTCCGATGGGAGGAATCGGAGGAGAAATGGAATTATCGAATTACGAAGCGCGGTCGATATCGGCGCCAGTTGTCCACCAATGATATCAAGGGATCGACGCATATCATGGTAATCAAGTCATTCCCCGACTCAATACGATCCGGACTTATTCCTTTCGTGATCGACGCTTGGAGTGAATCAGCTTCCGAGGACGACTCAGCTCCCTCCGGAACGAAATTCCTCTGCTGCGACGCCGCTTCCGACGATCACGGTATCCAGTCTGAATGCCTGCGGAGCCGAACAGGATTCTCCCGAGGCATGGCGCATGACGGGGATCTGAAGAAGTCCAGAAGGATCTGGGGCGCAGAGCCGTGCCACGAGAAGCCATTTGTGAAATGACGCTGTCTCCGTTCCTCGTTCGTTTAGGTGGTAAAATATTCCGACTCAATGTTCCAGTCATCGTTTTCTTCTCCCGCTTCGTCCTTTTCCCTCTTCTCTGTTGAGGGAGGCACTCTTCTTACAAGAATAGCTGATCCACCCCCATCAAAATAATGACTCTTCTTATACATGAGCGCCAACGCAAGCCGAGCTCGTGACCAACGGGCTGAATCAAAAACTCTATGAACACTTTTCTCGAACATTTTTGTAACTTCGTCGACGTTCGAGAAATTAAGGGACGATATTCCTCGCCACAAAGGAGCTCTATTGTCCACGACTATTGAGGAACGAGCTCATCCATTTCGGGGCGCGGGAGGCCTCGATACGAAACACGATAGTAAATCAAGAGGAAGAGGACTGATCAAAGGAGAATCATCCAGACAGGAAACTGCGAAGAAATCGGGCAGAGTTCCAATGGCCGTCGCGGGAGGAAAAAAATCTGTTCTGATGAAAGGCCGTCGGCAGAGTGATTTATGGAGCGGCGATGAGGACCACAATCGACATTCTCCATTCTCACGTCGAGGCTCTCCATTTCTCTCTGCTCTTTTGCCGAGGATGTGGCGCCGA